TCGGTCGCGGCTGTCGCCTGGCGAGCCGTGATGGGGCCTCTGGAGCGCGCGGGAAGAAGTGGCGTGAGGGGAGGAAAGAAAAACTGAACAGATCTGAGTCGCTGTGCTTAGAAAAGAGGTTAGTGGGGTGTAATCATAGAATCGTTTAGGTTGGAAAAGACCTTTAAGATCATCCAGTCCAACCATTAACCTAACATTACCTAGCCCACCACTAAACCAATTAAGGGGAGAGTAAGGATTAATTTCATGTTTCCTGGCTTGGTGGCTGGATTATTTTTAATGAAAGTAAAACTTGGAATCATTAAGGTTGGAAAGGACCTCAGTCCAACCATCAACCCAACACCACCATGCCTGCTTAACCATGTCCTCAAGTGCCACGTCTGCCTGGTCTTTGAACGCTTCCAGGGATGGTGACTCCACCACTTCCCCGAGCAGCCTGTTCCAGTGCTTGACCACCCTTTCCATGAAGAAATTTTTCCTAATATCCAACCTAAACCTCCCCTGATGCAACTTGAGGCCATTTCCTCTCATCCTATCACTTGCTACTTGGAAGAAGAGACCAACCCCCACCTCACTACACCCTCCTTTCAGGTAGTTGTAGAGAGCGATAAGGTCTCCCCTCAGCCTCCTCTTCTCCAGGCTAAAGGTTGTTATGCTTCAAATCATTCCTTACATGATCACTCTCTTCTGCGTGAGTTGTTTTCCTCCAACTTTATAGTAAGAGAAGAAACTATAGGTTTAAACCATAGCAAGGAACATTATGTTTAGGTGCTAGGGTAAAAAGTTCTGGCAATAGGATGACTGCACTGAATTATGTTAGATAAAGAATTTCTGATGTTGGAGGCCTTTAAGAACAAATTAGACTGTTCTCAGTGCAGTTACTGTTATATTGCCATTGCTGCTCTCTGGCATGTAGACATGCTGGCTTTTAAGTTTAGAAAGAGATGTGGAACACGCAAAGACTTGTCTAAAAAGCAAATGGGGATGCTTTTTTAGTGGTTTTACACTTAGGTAAATATGCAAGATTTAGGCTTTGGGTTAGCAAATATGCAAACATTTGGGCTTGCTTAGCACTGGGTATTCCCATTGTTTTGCTTGCTAATGTGTGGTTAGTACTGTATGGATTATAATTGCTGGGTTTTGATTTTGGTTTTGTTTCCTCCTGTTCCATTTGGTTTACAGATAATGAAACACCGCCGCACGTCTTCCAGTAAAATGGGGGAGACCACTGGTGGGGGATCAGCAAAAAAACCATTTAAATCGCAAAATCAACAAAGGCCTTCCAGCAAAAAAAAGGGAACAGATGCAGAAGGAAGAAAACAAGATCAAAAAAGAAAGGTAATCCTTATTTTGGATCAAATAAATTAGAAAAATAACCAAAGGAAAAAAAAGAAAACTACCCACACAAAAAGAGGCATTTTTGCCCTTTTTTTTAACTGGAATTTATAGAGAATATTTCATTAACTAAACATAGTCCTATTGAGGAAATGTCCAGTGTGAACAGCTCTCGAGACCCGCTGCCTTAGCTGCTCCCTGGTTTCCAGAATTTCTAGTTGTGTGCTACTGTGCCTGTGACAAGTAGGGGGAAGCCTTGCCTGATGATTAATAAAAAGGCAAGCTGGCTGTGCCGTTTTGAAGAGCTGCATAGCATCTGTTTGAACAGAGTGATAAAATCAGAGTTCATGCAGCTCAGGTGACATTTATTCAGTTCTGGAGAATATTCTCTGTATATCTCAGGACTAGCCTAGGCAGCTTTCTGTTGGAGAGAGCTTCCTTAACCACTTCACTTATGAACAGCATGATCTCAAGATGCAGCTGGGTAGCCAAACAACTTGTGCATTTCTTATTTCATGACCTCATTCTTTGAATGGGAGGAACTAAGAAGAGTGAATTGCTTTCCTTAACTTGCTTGGGATGAATTACTGTTTCACGGTTCAAAAAGCATTTTTTGTGGTCAATAGCAACAGACCTCTGTCAAGCACTGAGGTGCTTTCACAGCCTTTTTATAGCAGGTTGCTAGTAGTAAATGAATGGTTGCACAGCAGAGGATGTTTCAAAATTACCGTATTTCCTGTAAATTTTTCTTTTCAGGAGGTCACTCAGACATGCAAAAGGAAAGCTAAGGATCACGAGGACTATTCCCCAGCAGGTACGATTGTATTCTTTTCTTATGCTTGTCTCGTGCAAATGCAGCATTTCAAGAAAACACTGAAAGTAATAGTAACAGCTGTGTTGAAATCACAGATGTCTGAGATGTCACTGAAATAAGCTTCAAAGTTTTCTTTCTGAACAGTAGCAGTGAGTATTTGCAGTACGGTCTTGGCCAGTGTGCATTCATATTATATGTGTTGTATATGTAGGTATTAATCATATGCCTTTGTTTGCAAGTAGTGTTCTTCTCTTGTAAAATTCCACCACAAGCACCCAGAATATTTTAACTTTTTCTTCACAGGTCGTTGTCTTCTCTGTTAACCTTCTGTCTTAAGACAGAATGTGGTATAGTGAACACACAAATGAGATGAGGTCTCTGCTGCATTGAGTTTCTCACTTATGTATATTCCTACTCTTTTTTATTTCATTCTGGGTTTTCTGACTTGTATTGCCAGTGACTTTGGGAAAGTCTGTTTAGAATGAAACTGCTGTTAAGAAAGAACCTTTTCTATTTTGTGCTTTTTAAACAACTTGTGACTTGCAAATAATAAGTACCACCTAATGTGGATAGATTTGACCTGGTAGTTTTGTGACATGGAAAACTCTTAAGTGTTACACCTTTGACTACGGTCTGACTGAATTGAGTCATAATGCTGTCTATCCATGTTTGACAAATTGTATCTTTTCCTTTTTTCCTTTGTGTTAACAGCAGAAAAAGGTTTGTCAAAAAAGGTGAAGCTAACCAGTGCTAAAATAGAATCTTGGCAGACTCTGTCAGAGAGCAGTAGGCAGTTTTTGGAAACTATAATGGATTCAGTAATACTGTAAGTACCAAATATCCTGGTGGTAGTTCTTTGTTTCCACAAGAAATAAAGTAAAAATCATAACATTGCTTGAACTGGAAAAGCTTTGGAGCTTTTTTGGGCAATATGGCTGGCTGTGTATATTTTATGCGGTATGATACAACACTTTCTATCTGAAGTTGGAAATTTTTAGCTAGAGAAGTTCTATGTTCAGTTCACTTACGGTGTTCTCTGTGCTTTCAGGCTTTGCAATGAAAATTCTGCCTTTGTTTTCTTTCTAGATCTGTTTTGTGCAAACAAAGGGAGAGGAAAGATGATGTTCAGAAGCACCTCAATTTACTGAAAGAAAGGTGAGAAATTATAATTTAACAAAAAAGAAAAAGAGGGAGAGGAGGGATTTAGTGTACCCAGTTGTTTTGTGCCATGCTTACAGAATTGCTCCTAGGAGCAATCACATTTAGGAAATTTTGGAAGGGAAAGTTGATGCAAAATCAAGGAGGGAAATATCTCGATGGTATGTTGATTGAAGTGGACAAGCAAGAGTTGTTGAAAGACCCACTTTAACTACTTCTAAATGAGTAACAACCTAGGAGGTATTCTTAAGAGCTGCTTGAATCAGCTTTGTACTCTTTATACAGGGTTTAAATTTGTGGGCAGCTATTCATTTTGTTACTGTTCTATGATAGTGGTGGGAGCAGTTACAGCTGAATTTTCTTAAATGCGAATTCATTTTCTGACTGTTGAAGTTAATTCAAAGAGAACTGAAGTTTTGTGTTGGGGCATAACTTGTAGCCTTTTTATGTCATTGTGGGAGTAATTACATATGCTTGAGTGTCTGAGAATTTTTGTGTGCATGTGTGTTGGTATACCAGGCTCTTATCAACATAGAGCCTGAGCCTATGTGTTGCTTCCTTTGTTCTTACAGTACTTCAATCTTCAAACATGAGGAGCTAGTTTTGGTTTGTTTTGGTTTTTTTTTTTTAATTTGTGCCATGTTTAATTTCTGAGTTGCCAAACTGCTGCAGTCTCGTCTGAGATGCATAGAAATTGTGGCAGTTTGGTGTATCTAACAGTCAGATCCAACTTGGAAGAATTTAAGTCTTCCTCAGAATCAGAAGGCCCTTTGACAGCGAGCTAAAACTCTTCCTCTAGCATAAAAATATATATTATGTTTGACAAAAGCATTTACAGATTTTACTGAAATGATCTTTCTTTGGAAGCAGTTGAAAATGCTGCTTTGAGAACTTAGTTTTGCTTTGAAAAGCAGAAAGGTCAGAACTGGGAAAATATTAGTTAATGTCAACTTACAGTCAAGGAGTGTACAGGCCAATGGCATAGAAACCACACAATGTCAGTGTAATAGCAGAGGTTAGAATGGTGGGATTTCTTGTTCCTGGTTCCTTCCTTAGACATCTATTCCACATGATTTTGGAAAACAGTTCAAGACAGCTTTTCTTCCTGTCTGGATCCTTTTACTTCTCTGGCAGCGATTGGGCTAAACTGAGTTTAGTTTTTCCCCAGAGAAGTCATTAGTCAGTTTGCTTTTTGTTTTGCAAGGAACTCCAAGCAAGTCATGCTTTTCTTTTTCTATAATAAAGGGTACTGAGATTTTTCAAGACTTTAAAGGTGCCTCCAGGGAAGCTGGGCAACCTGAAGAATGTCCTGAGCCTTCAAATGGCAGAGAAACAAATGCTTGAGACAAATGAAGAGTCTTTGGTACAATTGCAGGTATGAAAGGCAAGGAAGGGAAGAAAATATCTTACCCATCTGCCGCTGCTCAGTGTGTTGTAACTTTTCAGTAGACAGACTGCTGGTTATGCCTGTGCTGTTGTGGAGAAGTTGTCCACTGTTCATCACTGTCACCCACCTTCACTACAAAGCAGTGTATCTTTTTGGGTGGTGTCATGGTTTAACCCCAGTTGGTAACTGAGCACCACATAGCCGCTCACTCACCCTCCCCCCCCACAGTGGGATGGGGGGAGAATGGGGGGGGAAAAAAAAAGTAAAACACATGGGATGAGATAAAGGCAGTTTAAGAGGACAGCAGAGGAAGAGAAACTAATAATAAAAGAATATACAAAGCAAGTGATGCACAATGCAATTGCTCACCACCCGCCGACCGTTGCCCAGCCAGTCCCTGAGCAGCGATCGCTGGCCCCCAGCCAACTCCCCCCAGTTTCTATACTGAGCATGACACCATATGGTATGGAATAGCCCTTTGGGCAGTTTGGGTCAGCTGTCCTGGCTGTGCCCCCTCCCAGTTTCTTGTGCACCTGGCAGAGCATGGGAAGCTGAAAAGTCCTTGACTGGCATAAGCAGTACTTAGCAACAACTAAACCATCAGTGTGTTATCAACATTCTTCTCCTACTAAATCCAAATCACAGCACTATGCCAGCTACTAGGAATAAAACTAACTCTATCCCAGCTGAAACCAGGACAGATGCTTTTTCAGTGACTCAGTTGATGCTGATTATCAGTATCTTATATGCAAAAGGCTCACCATCTCTAAAGTAAATTTTGTTCTGGTTTTGTGTCTATTTTGTCTCAGGAAGAAATAAATGAAGCTGAGAGATCAGCAGAACGCACTGAAGAAACTATACAGCAACTGCAGTACAAAATCCAGGTGCTCAAGAACCAGTTAGAGGAAGATGAAAAAAAGGCCAGGAAGGTATTTCCAATGGATGTTGCTGCATTCCTCTAAGGAGAATTTGTTTCCAGAGCTATTGCACCCAAGCTGTTTCTGCAGAGAGCGTCATATAAGGAAGGCCTTATTTGCCTTTGGGAATGTATCTTTTCAATCTTTCCCACTTCAGTTGCAAAATTAAGAAGTTTAATTTTCAGAAGGATAATGGATAATGACAGCCAGCTTATTTTCCTACTTGTGTGCCTAATGTTTGGTTTTGTTTGTCTGGTGTTTTTTTTGTTTGTTTGGGTTTTTTACCTCTTTTTCCCCTTCTAGGTATTCCAGGAAAATGGCAGTGGAGTGCTCCACCTTCCAGAACTCCCCCAGCGCAGTTTACAGGCACCCACTTTGCAGGTGAGCATGGAATGTATTTTCAGAGACACCTTGGCTATGAGAAGAAAGGCAACCGAATGTGCTTTTATGACCTAACCTCTTCCAGAGGGGGCAATTTAGAAAATTCTGAAAGTTTTCTTTTTTTTTTAATTTTCATTGAGAGCTATGTGCTTACATTTTAAAAACAGAACAAACCCTAGAAAAAAGGATCACATGTCTTTTCCTAGGAATCCTGTGGTCCTAGGAAACCTGTAATCATTTCTGAAATATATCTCTCTAACTGATGGAAGGAAGACTGTCTCATTCTGTGACTTTGAACCTTTTTTATTTTAGCTGTATGTAGGTACAGCTAGGCTGCATGCAAGTGAAATTTCTGTTGGACTCGATGAAAGCTATTTTTTATTTGTTGTCTATTGTTCTTTCTTCTTTAGGAAGAAATTTTGAAGATAAAAAATCAGAAAGGTCTTTTAAAGGATATGAACACTATTCAGCAGTCAGCTGACTTGAAGAACATGTTAACCCTCATTGAAAAGACCTATGAGAAGGTAGACTTCATTTGAGAAACCAAAATATATGGAGTCTCCTTTGAAGAAGATAACCTAGGCCAGCACTCTGTGTTAATGTAGAGCATCAGGATGCTGATCATGGAAACAGTGTTTTCTTCCTAATGGCTTTACTTCTGTGACTGCTGAATTTCTGTTAAAACGTTTTCTATGAATAACAGTCGGCATATAAATCTGTAGATGCATTCTGGGACTTTAGTGATTTAAGTGATCAATCAAGGGTTTTTTTCTGGCAGGGTTTGGACCTGTGATGACTTCTAATGATGATATATACTGTCTTAGAAAAAGGGAGGGAAATGGATCCTGGGTTTATATGGGCATTTTTATAGAATAAGGCAACCTATGCCATAATATTTGGACTTTTACATCACATCTGTAAATCGGTGAAGGCAGTATCTCTTACCAAACTAACTTTTGTTTTGGAGTTAAATCCTCTTTAAACCTGAAACACATAGTAAAAATATGATTATCTTAATGCTCAGTTGCAAATCCCCGGTTCAACTTTCTTACCATTTTTTAATAAAAAAACCTCCATGGCAGGAAATTGAATGATTTTTATAAAATGTACAGGATTTTTTTCACATTTTCATATTTACTGGTTAAAAAAAAAAAAAGAGCATTCACACCTGGTCTATCCAGATGGTTGGGGAAAGCAGATGAGCAAAGCTCTAATCTCGGAGCTGTGTACTCACCTTATATTTCACTAACTGTCAGATATTCTTCAGCTTCAGAGGAAGAAAATTAAGTCGGAAGTCTAAGCACTCTCCTCTATTTTTTCCATGATAGAGCTCCTCCCTTAAAAGATTCAGTTATTATAAAGTGCTTTCTCCAGTCAAATTATCTGCTGGAAGATAGCAGCGCTCTTTACATTGACTTACCACACAAATACTTGTTCTTTTGTTTACAAGCAGTTAGTACTTTTAATGAGACATGAGCTAATTATCTCTATTCTCCTATGAGAGATTAAAAGCCTTTCTGTAGTTGCTTCATCTAGAATCAGGATATTCAGACTAAGTGCTTGCTTGCTTTGTACTGAATCACATGAAAAAGTATATAAATATTTAGAAATATTTCTCAAAATTTTGATCACTCGACAAGGGGAGCACTTACTGACATAACCACTACCCCCAAGTGATTTAATCCACTTTATGTGTTGGTGATTTTCCTGCATGCCACCTATCTTAATTTTTTGGTAAGTAAAGATGCACTCCTTTGCTTTCATCAAGGGTGACTTGTGAGCAATTTACTATGTGGGTTTTGAACTTTATGAGCCACATAGATAACTTTTTTTAAAAAGAAAAAAAAGGGGAAAGTGTGGAGGAGGGCAGTAAGTAAGAGTCAGGGATATGATATAACTTCCATACAAGGAAAGCTGAAACAACCATAACTGAAAAAGGAAATAATAAAGACATAAAGCATTTAATGAAAGCACTGAGTAGGAATTGGTTACTCACCACTTTTTACAACGTAGAAATGAGGGAATAGCCAGTTTGGTGGCTAGACAGCAAGTTCTTAAAGTAAGGTACTCTATAGAGCAGTGCCAGAAGACTTTGTGTAAGCCAGAGTGTACAAATGTGAAAAAGAAGTAAACAAATCTATGAAGCGTGTGTCCATCAGAGACAATTAAATGGTTTGGACAAGGTAGTGGTACCTTGTTGATGTACTTCTAATCATACACGCTGACACGCTGAAAGACAGGGTACTGAAGTAGGATGAATTTTTGCTTAGCTATTTGCAGTATTTCTTACATTTCTCTAAGAAAGGCTGTAATCGCAAGATCTTTTGCGATGTGGTCCTATGTGGTCGGTTCCTGGAATGGAGATTTGTGGTCTCTTCCCTTCCTTCCAAATCTAGTTGTTTAGATTGCAATGTGTTATGCCCAAAGTAGTGTCTAAATGCAAAAAGGCAGCCCTCCTTGGAGGGGACTGTATAATACCTTTTATGTATGGTAGGTGCTATTTCTTTGTTACTCTGAAAACCAGTTTTGTCCAGCTCCAGGTCTGTATTTCCTGAACTGATTGTTGGTGAGTTCTTTGCAGCTGAGGGGTCTTCCATGCCAAGCTTCATCTCTCATCATCCTCGTCGCTCTCCCGTGTCCCATTGCTTATCACCCCATACCTGTACTTCTCTGCACCGCGCCCCATATCTCCATTTCTTGAGGCCTCTGCTATCATACTTGGCCTGTATTTCTTTATACTGTGTCATTATGTGAGTCATAAATATCTCATTTGATATAGAATAACTGCTTGTTATTGCTGTCTGTATAAAGCTGTGGTTGTACCATACAAAGATAAAAAGAAAAAAAAATTATTCATAGGCACCTGGTCAGTGCTAAATTACACAGCTAAGTAAAAAGTTCAAAGAGCACCTGATGAACCTCAATCCTGAGGCCTTGTAAACGCAGTGCAAAGCTGGCACTAGCGATGGAGGTACTGCATTACAGGGCTAGATAGTTACAGAAGCAAGCCATAATTATTTTAATTAATTTTTTTTCTGACATTGGGTTATTTATGATAGGCTGGCTGGCTGTGGATGTTACTTTGGGGTTGTCATGCACACATAAATAGGACAACGTAAAATGGGAACATAAAACCAGACTTTTAGGAGGTGGTCTTAGCTCAGCTTATTTGATGGTGGATACCCTTGGGCAGAGTTGCAGAAGGATCAGATTTTGGTTTCTGATAAGATTAGAGGACTCTTCTAGGAGAAGGTTCACTGTTGATCAGCGTGCGTGGAGCTGTGAACTTGTGTGATTTGACTTGGGAGCATCTCAAACTTCAATTTCACAAACCTTGGCTTCAAGTAGGTAAGTTACAAGTTACAGATTTAAGATACAGCAAGAACATCAATCCATATCAGCTCTTCCTCATGCTCAAATAAAGCGTCTTTCTGCATGTGCTCTCCCATAACACATCAATGTTCCTTCTGTGTTGACTCTTCTGCCATATGCTATAGGTCCAAAACACAAGGGCAGCGTGGGTTAGCATCATCAAATCAGACAAATGAAAAATCAGGCAAAGGGTGAACAGGGCTGCCACCTCAAGATAATGCTTGGGGCTGCTTAGCTGGCTTGGTTTTCTCTTTGGCAGAATGTGTCTTAGTTTATCTCAGGCTCTTAATTCCCTCATGCTATGAAGCTTGGCACTGAGAATGAGAATTGACTACTTATTTCACTACCACTGAGAAGAAAAAGGATAATTATAAGTATGTGCCAAGCAGATCATTAACTGGTGTGAATGCAAATAGATTAAATGTCTTAATGAAAAAAAAAAAAAAAGGTTCTGGCTAGAGCCTATACTCTTGAACAAGCCTTTTGGCACTTTATTAACTCTGCTTACAGAGTCCTTCCTCCTCTGAAGGTGCAGCTGGCTCTGGCTATAATTTCCATGCTCTCCAAAAGAAAGAATAAAGCTTTTAGGAACAGTATACTAGTTTAGAAGAATTTGGAGCAATAGAATTATAGTTTTAAGATTCTGGACAAGGAATCTCATCATTCCCCATGCAGAAGCAGCGACAAGGTGGATGCATTTTATTGTCTCCTAACTTCAAGTTTATTGTTGCACTTTTGAAGTACCAGCTACAAGACTGAAAGCAGGTAAGCGTTCAGGTGGTCTATCGGTGCAATATTTGTTTTCAATCTGAAAATACTTCCAGGCATATAGATGTAAGAACTGTCCTTAAGTAAAAGTAGCTGTGTATTCAAACACATACCAACACTGCTTTTAGATATAGTTATATGCATACTGATGTGGTGTGACACAGAGGCAATTTTCCCCTTGAACATGGTGAGAAAATGGAGTATAAGCTTCAATAAAGGTAAATATGCACATGTACTCATAGAAAGAACTAATCGGGGTTTTTTTAATTTTTATGTTTGGTGAAGCAAGCCAAGGAACAAGGTGAGGGCTTGAGGCTGATGGTGGATCATATGGATGCTGGAAGATACTTTCTTATCTAAGACACAGGTGTGTTAGTGGGACAGCCTGAGCTTCACTATATTGCTCCATTCATGGATCTCTACCGTGACCTGAGGAGCAGATTGCTTGTGTAAGTGTGTTGATTAATGCTATGGTTTATTCAACCCTTAATCAGCTTGCTGAGGACAACAAGAAGAGGCAATTAGTGCTTACTGTTGTGTTATTTCTCTGTTAAAGCCTTGTCACTTGGAAACTGGACTAAATGTTTGAAACCTAAACATAGCCTGGAGGAAAAATTCAAGTTATGAGATGTAAAAGCCTTTAGAAAAAAATACATGCTGTGCAATCTGTAGAATTAAACGAAGTAAGAAAATGGCCAGATTGGCGCATTGTATGAAGAATAAGTGAATAGAAGCCTTTTTCAATGGATAACAGATCAGTCATAGCAGTGATCTTGGAAAGACTCCTTGAGTAACTTGCAGTAGAAGATCAACTATAAGGTTAATATATAGTGCTGACAAGATAAGTCATCAGTGCTAAGACCCTTCAATATTTGTAGTATGTTGGTGCTTTTTATTTCTTTTAAAAACATAGGAAAATTGGATTGAGTAACACCTTGTTGTTGTCTTACTTGTGATCTGGCTGTTGGATGAGTACCTTTGTAGGAGGTATATAGTGTCATAAGCAAACAGGAGAGCTGAGGATGGATGAGCACCTAAGCCCCTGCTACAGGTTTTATTGCTCTATCCGTGATCCTGAGAGGTGGCTGCTTACAAGATGTTCGTTAGTAGTAAGGTGGGTACTTGATGGCTGCAATAATTTATAAGGTATGTTAAGATTTGTAATGAACTGCAGCAAAGGGCAATGCTTTTAAGATTAATTGGTGCACATTTAAGAGGTAAAAGAGAGGATGAAGGATGCGGTACCTTTGAGAAACCTTAGGATTTGAATTCTTTCCTTGGACTTTCTAAGTGAAGATACGTTTTTGTTGCTTCTTGGGGGTTTTTGGGATGGGTTTTGGGGTTTTTTTTGCTGGATTTTTTTTTTTTTTTTGACAGGTCATAACTGTTGTTTTGGATGGGCTAGTTTGGATTTACAGCAAAAGTGGAAAGGAAAAAAAAAAATTACTAAGGCAAGGCAGCTGTTTCGCAAATAAGATTTGTGGCTGTCATTCTTGCAGTAGCTCCTCTGCTGAAGAAGTTACCCTGGAGGATGAACTGTCCCAGATCATAGCCTAAAAAGTTAAAGGCCGAATTAACATTGTAGAAATTACTTGTTAATAACCAGTAAGGGAGGTCAGTTGTATCTAGGCTTAAAGAAATCAGTTGTAAGAATTTATTTTTACAGTTTTTACCAGCAAAAACTAACATGATTTTTGGGGCAGACATGAGAAAGCCCTCTTTTTGAATCTATCTGTAAGTGACCTGGCTGATGTAGCACAAGAAACCTGGTGTAGAATGACAAATTAAGACCTGGAATTAAGCCCTTTCTGACTGCCAAACACCATCTCATCTTGCTGTTCTCCTCACATCCATTTATTAAAAAAAAAAAAAAAATTCCCAAAACACTTTCCATAGGAAAATGCTGAAACAGGGCATTTGTGGGAGCTATTGTATTTTATGAAATTAGCAATTATGCCACTCAGTTCCTCTGCATTATTGCTTTTCTGAGTGACTCTTTATACCTTGAGTGTCTTCCCAGTAAGGAAGATGCTGGTGCTCAGCTGCTCCATGAAGCTGCATATGCTGGAGAAAATGCTAAGATGGAGTTTCCCCAAGTCCCTCAAGGTAACATAGCACAGACCTGTCATTTTCTGTGGTATTTCCATCAGTGAATCAGGGTGTTTGTTGGGGAATCAAAGCTGCGGGGAGAGGGTTGTGTTTCTTCTGGACGGACTGACTGATATTTGCTGTTTAGATGACTGTATCTGGCCGTGCCTATTAACTGAAATCCACATGCTTAAGAAAAGAAAGAAGCAAGTTGGTCCACCTCCTCTCCAAAGTATTAGGGTTGACATAATTAGACAATGGTTTATCTTCATGGTAATATGCCTTACTGATGAGTGTGTAGGTATCAACCTATGTGATGTGTCTGTGTGTATGAAAATCTAAATATATGCTTTCAGCTCCGTGTCGCTGGTTCAGTCGCTGGTTTATAACACAGGTGCCACATTAGTATGTCTCAAACTGTCTGTCTTCTTTTGGGTCATCATCCTGCAGGTTTACGGAGCTGCGATGAACATCAACCAAAGGAACCCCTTCAGGAAGGAGGTGGTGGTGGACTCATGGCCAGACTTCAAAGTTGTTATCACCAAGCTGCAGAGGGAGGTAGATTGATGTGGTTTTTTATCTTTGTTTCTGAGAGGTGACTGGGGCCGTCCTCTCAGCTTTCTGAGAGCTTTGCAGATGGGGCTAGCTTTATCTGGGAAGTGCGTAACAGGGGGAGGTGTAAAGTAGAATCGGACATCTCAGTGGGTGCCAGCACAAAGCCCACTATAGGGAGTGCTGCTCTTTCCTGAAACATTCTGCAAACCAAACTTATTTATGAAGTGCACATTCTCATTGTAATTATCCTGATTGCACCGACTGAAGATTAACTTGCATAGCTTATGCAGAGACACATTTTTACCTGCACTCACACCATTTGACCAAACTTTCCAAGGATTCTTTGGTCTTTCTAGCCTTTGTATGGACAGACAAAGAGCCTTGGTGAGCTTGTGATGGGGTAGATGCAGCTACAAGGTGAAAGAAGGGTCCTTCTGCAGTCTTTTGTTCCATAACAGGCAATGCTAAAGAGAAGCTGGGAGGGTGCATTGCCTTAACCCCTTCTGTCCACTGAGATAAAGCAATCTCTGAATTGCATGAATCTGTGGGTGCTTCCGCAACTCCAGACTAGGAGGCAAGCCTTTGTCGGTGCAGGCTTATATGGGGTACAATTAAGTCCTTGGCGTGGTCTCTGGGACAACCATCAATCCTAGGCTAGCTGTGCAGGAGTCAGCATAGGACGTGGACAATCCCCAGTTGGCAGTTTGGATGTTTACAACCTGATTTGGAGACTAAGAGAGTTTAACAGTATCGACAAGGCCAGGCTGTCCTATTTCAGCTCAGGGGCAGAGAACAAGTGTCGAACAAACTGGTTTTTTTGTTTACCAGAGGAGATGCAGTCTAAACACATTGACCTTGGCAACCAAATAACACAGGGGACAAACAGTAGTAGAGGTGAGCTTTGAACGATGAATTAGGCAAGAGTTTCAAGAAACTGCCACCATGTTTGGGTTACTGTGCCACGGGTACATGATGGCTTACTACCATTGCTGCTTTCTGCTAATATGACACTGTAGAGGGCAAAAAATATATCTATTGTCCTGCTTGAGAGTTACTACTGAAAATGTCCTAAAGGAAGCCTCTCTGAAGCTCGAAACATTTTTTTAGATCTCTGGGGTTGGCTTGCAGGGAGTTTAGATTCCCATGTGAAAGATGTGTGTGTGGAAGGGTAGAATTTTTAATTCTTCCGTATTTTTTCTTCCCAGGATGAGATGGATGACCTTGACCATTATACTAATGCTTGTGCAGTTTTCTACAAGGAGCTACAGGCTTACCATGAGCTACTGGAACACACAAATGCCATCAGCTGGGGAATTGCTAACCTCATTTGCTGCTTCCCCAGTGTCTGTGTCTTGGATGACAATGGGTATCCCCTTTCCTGGAGCAACAGACCAGTTTGCCACCACAATTCATGGTTATACCCTTCCAGAGCACTGGAGGAAGGGTTATAGCAGGCTTGTGGCTACCACTTTATCTAAGAAATTACATAGCTGTTGCTTTCCAGCACAAGGTAATGTCCTGGAGACGAATATACCATCAGTAACATTGCTAAAAAACATGAACGCCCAGTTTCCTCTCTTCTCATTTTTCAGAGTGATGCATACACCTTTTCATTTTTTAGACAAATCTCACTTATAGCCAAACCTCACAGATGTCTACACATTCAGGTCAACTTTTGTGCAGTGCAGGAGCACTTAGGCGAGATCAGAAATCATACAAGAGTTTCCTGTGTAAGCCTAAAATTGAAGATATTAACTGCTCATGACTTCTCTGCCTAGGGAAAAGTGCTCATGGCAAATCCAAAAGACTTAGGAATGGTTGTGAGTTTAATAGTTTCGTTGTAATTCAACTGTAATTGTACTGCTTCTGACCGAAGAATTATTCTTTCTATATAACCATTTTCTGGGATATCTAAAGCAGAATCCTTGGACATCTCTAGCCCCATCTGTCTGTCTTGGTATAAGTCCTCAAGCCTCTCCTTTCCCTAAAATGGCCTAAAAGAGATTAGCATGTGAAATTAAGAAGCAGAGAAACCTGTAAGGAGCAATCTGAATTAAAGAAAAACTTTATAAAGAAGCCTTTTAATGTCTAATACAGAAACAAATGTGTTTCTTTTCTACTGTGTGTCTCCTTTATGATCAAGACAAATCTGTGTGTCTATCATCTACACATGGTAGAGCTAAACATGCAAAGGCTGGATAAAAAGTCTTGCAGATTTTAACTTCAACACATAGGTGTTTTATCATAAGTCAGGAGGGCTTGATAGAAGTCATTTCCATCAATTTTATCAGTAAATAACTCCAAATGCTTTGCAAATGCTCCTTCTGGGACTGGAAGTAAGTCTCACTATTTTCACACCAGTCTAAAACTCACTTAAATTTGGCAGACGGAAGCTGTGAGATACCTACACTGTCTCTTAGTCAAGAGTGTCCAAGGATAGATGTGTATTGGGAGCAACAATGAGGATGCTATCACTGAAGGCCATGGGAAGACACATGAAAGTCTTGTATATGCCAAAGCTGATAAGGCTTTTGCCCAGGAGCCTACTAGGAGGATAATGACATGACTAAGAGGGTGTTCCCTAAGCAGCACAACTGTCAAAGACAAGTTGCCTATGATATGAAATACAACGGGGGCTCTGTTCAGTTGGCTGAAGGCAAGCAGTGCCCTAGGGCACCCTTCCTGGTCTGCAGTTGCTGATCCACAAGACAACAAATCTCCAATATGTCACATTAGTGAACCCTGTGCAGGTATCTCCAATGCTGCGTGGTGTCTGAAATGACGCTAAGGGCAGGATTCAACTACTGCTGAACAAACCTAAGTGTCTGTTTAGGTTAAGTCAGATCACTGTCTAGGCTCCACTGACTGTATTCAGGAGATCTCCACTGAATAATGACAATGTAGGCTAAGCCTCTACTTACTTGCCTAGGCATGGGCATCTAGTCCAACTTCAGGCATCTTAGAATATTTGAGACACCTTCCTGATGTTCAGAGGCCCAATGGGAGACCAACACTCTTCTGGGCTACTCATTGGACGTCAGCTGTCATAAAGCATCTCAAACGCTCAAGATGTAGACAACTGAATTAAGTCACAGGGGCACATATAGACACTTATAGTCAAACACCTAAATTCACATATCTGAATTCATAGCTGAATCCTGCCAATTGCTTTTAACTAACAGCATGTGTCTTGAGGTACTACCAACACAGTAGTTTGGGAAGAGCAGCTCTGAAAATTTTTCTTGCTGGAGGTCACCATCTTTTGCTAATCAAGGCAGTTGATTCCAGAGGACGTTCATAACTTTTAGTATTTCTGTTGGTTCCTGGTGTTGTATAAATAACTACTCTGGACCACCTCTTCCAGGACATTGCAGTAGATAGTTTAAAATGGGAGGACTCTTGTTTCACAGGGCATCTGGTCCAGTGCACTGATTCTCTTTTACATTTTAAGAATCATCAGACTCTTTTACTTTGTCAGTATTTCTTAGCTTTCTGTGTTATAGCACATCTATTTACCAATATATCCCCGGAGAAAAGCAAAGTGGTAATGCAGTGGTGGTCTTCTAGTGATAATTTGCCTTGTGAGAAATTTGTCACTGTTGTGGAGACTACTTCCAGAACAACACACCAATGCCTTCTGCTCATGGCAACGTAGAGCAATAACCATCATGCCATGCAGCTCACCTAAAAAGCCTGGATCTCAGCCCGAGAAGTGTACCAAAATCAGATCTCCACCGGAAAATAGAACAATGGGAGGCTTATTACACCATCTTGACATTTAACTTTGACCCGGAGAGGTATTGTACTTTGTTACACCTACGTATGTCCAAAACTATTTGGATCCATCTGGATCCAAAATCAGATTGGATAAAGCCCTGTGCAGTCTGGTCTGACCTCACGACTGACTCTGCTTTGACCTCCTGCAGTCTCTTCCAACCTGAATTATCCTGCAGTCCCGTGAGCCTGTG